CCTTTACGTTTGGTTTTCTCTCGTCGAACTTGTTTTGGTTCGTCTCCAACAGAGTTACAGAGCGGCATGGTAACAGTTAGTTATCTAGACCAGGCCGCTCCTTAAATCGTATTGCGGCATCTTTACGATGCACGTATGTGCCACGTCATTATCACAAAGTCGAAGACAGTCCTTATTTGGAAAGATCAGTTGTAGGGTAACGTTATATAGAATCATAAAATTAGAAAAAAAAATGCTATTTGTTACATAAACCAAATAAGGTCCTAACGTAGAAGTATAGTACTACCATTTAAATCTTCAATAAGTCAATCATCCTAATAAATGAAGCGGAACGATTTGACGAGGAACCAAGACGCCAGCGCCTAATGCACGAAGACTGAAAAACAAATTAGGCGACTAAAATTATAGATAGAACATACAGAAGACGGATTATCTGTGATGTCTTACTATTCATTAATAGCTAATTGCGTTGGGAAAGACTATCACCAAAGGGTAGATTTCAACGTAAAATACAGAAGAAGCTACCAACGCGGTCGATTTATAAGTGTGCTGGTAACGTAAAAACTTACACGGATATCGACAGAATTCATACTCATTCATTAGGCAGCCTTTGTTTTTCAATGGTACGTACTGTACTTCAGGAGGACAAGACAAAATAGCTGGATTCTCCGACGAAATCTTGATGTTAAACCTGAGTTGAGACAACCGCTGCGAAAGTAAGCGACCAAAAGAAACCTGGCTATGCCAGCAATCCTATGAGGAACGCCGGAAAGAAGGCTGTAAACGTCGTTACCTGGATTCAGGCCAGAAGTGGTCGTGCATGCAAATTTGTCGAGCATAGTGCACTCAAAATATGTAGTAGCAATGCCAAAGTTCTTCAGTCAAATCAAGTCGGCCCATATATTTTCAGCAGAGCTTGGCGTGACGTTTTCCCTTTAAACCTGCTAGAGACTAATCACAAAGGTCAAGATTTCCATCGTGGTGGCATCTAATTATGCGTAAAATTTGCCCCATTCGGCCAGACTGGCACGAACGATAGACGTAATAAGTTTGCCGATTGATTTAAAGATCCGCATACGTAGACATTTGCAGTCCAGCAGCTGCTATAACTGACGGATTCACTTGATAGTTTGTAAGAAAGAGCTGATTCGACATGCGTGAGCGCCTTCGGTGTAGTAGCAAACAGTCGGCGTCGTCCCTTGCAACCCTGAAGTTGAGAACTTGTGTTCGATCGAGCAGCTGATATCAGTGTGCTATCTTCAATCAGAGGTCTACGATATATATTTAATAATAAAATACGCGCTAGCTAGCTCGCACCATAAAGAGAAGTGTCGTGCATTCAAAACCATTTTGCGTAGGATCTCCATTTCATTATTTTATAAAGATGGTGCAGACAGGTCTATCGGTATGAATGATGGAAGCAATTTAATACAGAAGAAGTTACTCGTTTGATCAAGGCGGAGCAACATTCCTATGTATGGCTACAACGGTCCAGATCCCCATAAAATCTGATATCCTTATTGCTCATTTTTGGCAGATGTACGCCTCTAGAAACATAATATCGAGAGAGCCACTATGGTAATGTCTACTATGGGTCGAACAAACAAGCTGTGATAGCCGTCCACGTGACAGCCGGTAAGATGGCCGCAGCACCCCAGCGGCTCAACCCCATCAAGGGTACCCGATTAGATAAGATTACGCTCGCATACTGCACGGTGGCAGTAATGTTACGCCCATACTGGACTGCCTTTTACAGCACCTGCATGTATGATGGGAGAATACCAGATGGTTGGCAAAAGGCACTCCTTACCGTTATCCCGAAAGATAAAGACTATTTTCAAGAACCGAAATCATGGAGGGGAATAGCAAAAAAAGAACTGCTGTTACAAAATTCTCTTAGCCATACTCTTCAAGCACCTCTCCGCTTTCCTAGAAGCTAGAAGCATGATTCCGGATGAACAACACGTCTTCCGTAGGAAACAATCGATAGTGACTGTTTGCCAAATTTTGCTTTTCAACATAGGATCTGTTATAAGCACAAGGGATACCAACCAGTTCACTTTGCTATTTTTGTCTATTTCAAAACGGATTTTTTTTTAAACTTGCTGAAGTAGGTGTTGCATCTAGTTCATTCCTTCAAGTATGCCGGAGATCCGCATTACGACGCAATGATGGCGTGGCGAATATGAACCCCGTTTAATAGGTGACAGAAATAGCTCAGAGCGACGACCTCAGTCCATTACTTTCTCAGCCTTCCTGAACGAGCTCCCAAAAAGCATAATCGCAATGCGCGAGAGCATATGTCCTATGAGCACCGTCGTAGAATTGTTGCTTCTTCCTTTGAATAGTGCGATACCCCTCGTCAATATCAAGCTCACACCAACAGCTATCAAACTTATCTGGAAGAATCTCAGAAAAGTTCAACTGTATGGGATGGGCCAGATGGAGCCTACTTTTCTCAAAAGATCATTAGGTCGCTACGTGTATTTGCGGATAAGTCGTTTTTTAATTAAGCCAATCTTACCTAGAATTCATAGGAGAACGGGAGGAACGAACGGCTGAAGTCTACCCGAAATTATTTGTCACTCTTCTACAATGAAAGAAACAGAGAAAGAACCAATATGTGGCAGTCCGCTACGTAGTGCATGGCCATATTATGTGCGCTAATGAGTTGTACCAATAGCCAAACAAAAGCTGCGTCTGTGTCGGCCGCAGTGGTTTCTGTGAATGATACCATGTCAGCTCATGTCCAAAGACGATGCCCCTCTGGAACGATGTGGCGCATGCGTAGCGATTCAATCTATTTTGTTACAAAAAACAAGTTCTATTTTAAATATAAATATGCTTTTGTGTTAGCAACTTTGTACAAGGTACCTGGCAAAGATGAAAATAAATGTATGAATTCGCCTTGAAGTGGGTAGCGAATCTGTGTTAAAAAAAAAACACTTGAAAAAATTTTCCTTTAAAGAATCCTATTTGGTATTCGAGCAGGCCATCGTCAAGGAGGTCCTTTCATCTGCCGTTGTGACTTTACACATTTTTTATCCTTGTCAGCTTACCAGCAGGTTCGGACAATTTGTATAAGGTTACACACTGCAATTTACTATGCTGGCTCTCAAGGCTTTGTTCGTCTATCGAGGTTCGTAGTTGCTCTTTAGACACGATTTCGCTATGTAATAGACTTGAATCGGTCGTACAAAGATCCTCTGAGTCCTTGCTACTCTGTTACCTTTTAAATGAGTATTTGTACCAGAAGTATCATCTATGAGGTAAAAACTTTGTACGCAATTCCACTGTAGAAGTAGTCCTTAAATATATCGAACTATAATTGAATTTTTATTAGTTGGCCTGCTACTGTTGTTATGAAGTAGAACGCAAGAAAAACTTTTTGTTTCAGAAACTTGACACATATTCAACCATATTTATACCTCTTAAAAATAATTCAGTAGTGAAAACTATCTTATTCCGCAACTTTTATGACTAAAAACTTCAGACCAAGTTGTAAATGTTTAATTAAAAATTGCTTTTATTACCATTATTGCTGCTCTATTCACCTTTTGGCTACATAGCACATAATTCTCATAGCGAATTCATACATGTGCCGCTCTTGATTTATCCACGTTTTAGTGGGAAACGACTTCGGCAAACAAGATGAAGCCTTGAAAATTCGGCCAGACGCTGTAGTGTTTTTCATTCATTGATATTCTCATTATACCAAAGAAGATAATAACTTTTTAATTCAAAACCGTCAGTGTTACCTTCTGTTGCTTGTTAGGCTTTTTACAAACGAATCCAGTGGAGTTTAAATTGAATAGCTTTCAAACTAGATGGGTTAGGACGATGACTGTTTAATATGTGTCAAAGGTACCTTCTCTTATTCTTTGCATACCTGTCATAGCATTTTGCCAGCTTCTGGATAGTCATATGTTTATGATGCGTGAAGTAAGTCAGTGGAAGATATGCCTAGCTACCACTTGTCCTTTTTAAAATATGGAAAAGCCTAGAATCACACGGACTTCGGTCAACATAATAAACAGGTCGAAGTCAATGTTAGGTACTCCCTTCTCAATCTAGGAAGTAACTGAAGTAAGACGATGACGTCGGACGTTACCATAACGTAAGCATACTGCGTACTTTTGATTGCCTTGCCAATGTTTTAGACCTAAAGAGTTCAAGAAGGGGGACAGCATTAAGTGTTTTATTTTAGACGAGTATCCCATAGTAGCAAGTGATCCTAACGTACATCGTAACTTCTACTACCACCTGACGTCCGAACTTACGCGACAACGCGACACTATCATATTTTCTCTATGGAAATGTCATTCTCCCGCCATATTCTTCTTTGGTGGTGGTGGTGGGGGGGGGGGGGGGTAGAGGCTAAACGATCCCTCATCTACGACGACCGTATTTTCTACGAGGTTTTTTGTCAATTGAAGTTTCGCAAAATACTCATGAAGTACACTACATAAATTTTCAACCCGGAGTGAATTTATGAGCGATTCATTTCTTTTCCATCAGCTTCTGCGCTTTCGGTATTTGAGTACTAATTCTGCAACGTTTTATATGTGAAATGCCAGAGTTGGCCTTTTCCAATTTCAAACTCACCTTTAATAAAAAAGCGTCCTTGGCTTTAGCAGTGTGTTCTTATCCAGCATCATATCTGGCCACCTTCTAACTCGCGTTTGCACACAGTCATGTATTGCGCTTTTTCGTTCAAGTTTACCTTGCCTAATGTTTTCACCAACCTTCGATAAATTTCTGCAGCATTATGGCCATTGAAGAACAGAAATTTAACTACTGAGCTTTTATTTTCACGACTAAAGGGTGTTGTTCTTCTAGAACTTATTTTTCCTGAGGCAAACTCAACGGATTTTTACCCGCACGTATCTAGAAAGCTATAGTATTTACCAGCCCAGTCTACTAAAGTTTTCAATTCCAAAGTCTCCTGGATTCGCTTGTAACCGCCTAATATATTGCCACTCCTCGTTTCTACTTTTTAGAGTTCTACTGCTGGATGCGTAAAATGGCGCACTCCGAGGAGCGTGATTCGTTCATAAAACAATGACGTTCAAAGGCAAGCAGCCGTGCGATACCCGTTCAAAGATTACGATGGAAATAGGGTAGGTATAAAGTATTTTTATAAGGGTACGATAGACCTCATTGTTTACGCCTAGTGATGTCATATATATATATATATATATATATATATATATATATATATATATATATGCGTTACTGCATCTTGAATAAAGAACATGGTACATTTCGTAGTTATTTCTGCGCTACTAGTTTATGCTATATTAGAGCCTGAATGGCCACTGAAGACCAGACAAAAAAACAGCGGATTGTTCGTGCAAGCTTCGCCATGTGCATTTAATTAAGTTCACAAAGAACTGAAACATCGTGTATGGATTCTTAATTAAAGCACCGCAGCTATTTTATAACGATCATTTTTTGTTTTTCCTACGCGTGCAGTCGTGGCACCCGGCAAACGCATTTCGCCCTATCTACGGCATCGAGCCATTAGCCCTGTTTCGAAATGTCTTCGAGAGCAAAATATTACTTCAAGGTCAAGCTTGCTCCAATGCACTTAACCGGCGAAAATTTTTCAGCTGAAATTTAGAACATGCCCCATAACTTCCAGTGAATACGACATACGTTTTTTTCTACATGATTTTGTTCTGTCGGCCTGATCTTTCCCACTTAATCTAATTGGACTACGTGATATGTAACTGTAGGCCTTATTCTCCTGGAGATATTCATATAAATTATGGACTACGTAATGCCATTTTAAGCACGATAAAGGATGCCTCTAATTTTCAAAGTAATAAAACTACCTGTATTGGTTGTGTTCTATCCCGGGCGTATTAGACCTTATTTTAGAACAGTTTTCTTCTTGTTTTGAACCATTCAAGTAGTACATAATGTGCAAGACAGAGAGAGATCTTAACTCTTTTTGGGTATCAACCTTATCTTGCATGAATGATGGCGTTCAGGTCTCTATCCTGCAATTTCACCGTCCATTGAAAGAAGGTGTGGTCATCTTAAAGAATTCATTCATGGCTTGATGGAAGCGTCGCTAACTGGTGCACATTCCCAGAAAGCTAGTTTGAGCTTGCTGTTTTCTCCAGCGATTTCCTATAGTTTTCATTTTTTTAAAAGTAAGCATTTGATATTTTCGAATTGCACCTGTATTGTTCATCTCTACTAGCACGCTAGGCAAACATCGCCTTATTTTACCTCTAAAATCGTCAGCCCTTAACATCGACTTTGTGGCTAAAAATGGCAACGATGCTGTTAGAATAGTACGAAGCAAGCGAGCTACAAAGTAATGGCTGAGTACATGTAGTTACGAGGTATGCATAGGTCGACAGTGATTTATCTCAGGCTTAGTGATGGAAATCGCTGAGTTTGGAAATTGATAGGTATTCTAATCAGTCATCCTTCTTCGCACAACAACGCAGCCTTTAGTCAAGCACGTCTGTGCATACTTTTGTTACGATCTGTGTTATTGATTGAGTTACATCGAATATAATACATGATTCAGTCTGGAAAAGTCATCATTGTGTCAACTTGTCAAGTCGAGGCAAGACAACTGGCTTCGTCTTTAACAATTCCTTAAAACGAACCTGTCCTTTTTCCTTACCACACAAACACACGCATTTTTATTAACTGGCCTAATATATGCCACTGCACGAGTTTTTTTGCTTAGCTTTCGCCACGGGATTTAATTATCCCTTATCGCTAAAACCATGGTATTGTAGGGCATGTTTATCATAACAGAGCAGAGACACTACTCTGTGTCATAGCAGGCTAAACTATATGGAAGATACGTACTGAGAGAAAGAATTGCCATCTATAGACACCAAGCCCAGTAAAATAGACAGTCCCATTAACTTTCCACAAATTACTTTGAATTCTCGTGATGTACTCATTATCGTTTGGCAATGATCGAACAACAAGTTTTTCGTTTACTTCTAAACGAAAATTGGCTTCGGTCGATAGTGGCGCCAAGAAGTTCTTGTTCCTGTTAATTTACACTGAAGACTTTTTATGTGGGTTGTACAAGTTGGCCAATAATGGGCTACTAAATTTTGCTCATTACCTGGTTGTTTTCGGCTCATTATTTGTGGACATGAATGTATTGAATACAAAAAACCTAGAAGATACGTGTTCGTGGACTAGACAAACTTTTCAAACATTTGATTCGGATTAAAATTAGCATGGCTCAGAACTGACGAACTCTGCAGCCCGCCTATAGGCTGTAACCTTGATGTCTTTGCCTGGGTACCTTCTACAGACAGAGTCAAATAATGAAGCTCTCATATTACTTGGCATCTGATTAGGACTACTTTGGCATCAAAAAAAAAAGGCTTCCACTGTTCGGAAACAGGATTTGTGATATGCTGGTCCTTAGGCGAATTTATTAACAAATAGAATCGTGCATTTTACTTAAGTAATCTTTTTCAAATAATTATTATCGGTGAATCTGGTGTTACTGCCTATCGCGTTCTGATATGATGTCTATTTACGAAGGTCAGGTTTCCAGGCAGACGGTGCACTAATGAGCTCTTTGTTAGAAATGGCTTTGGCATAGTTATTAATCTGCGTATGTACTCAAACAAATTAATACATATGCTTTTCTACTGTTTATAATACAGCCGGGCCTTCTCTAATACTTTGATTATACTAATTATAATTAGTATCGCATCGTACTGGAATAACCCGTCACAAAAGTATCCCTATGAATCTTTTAAACCAGATATCTGTTAAGGTAATTCAGTGTGGGTGGAGCATAGAGTAGCAGTGACAGAGCGTCTCACAATTGACACTGATATGTATAACATAAATAGCTAGATATTGCGCATGTTTTTAAGGATGACTGCGTTCGTTCTTTATCGGTGATAAATACGCGTTTCCTGACGTCCTCGGTTGAAACCGTCACATATGCTTCGTGATGCATGATATCTCTCAGTGCGAAAATCCATATTATAGACGTAAACGATTAAGGTAAAACTCCCTAAGATCATCAACTGCCACGCGGGCGGGGGTGCGATAGAAGGCGTTTCCTTGATTGTAAAAGCATTATGCATAAAAATAATGGAACTCACCTTGTGAGTTTTTTTTACAAACCATTCAGGTTTTAATTTTAATTTAATTAACACTGCGATTCTAAGTACGAGTTTTCGAGATTGGAATAGGGCTGCTGCAGAGTCATCGTACGCGTTCCACATGTAGCCCTTTCATGTATTTTGCACAGAACTTCAAGCTAACCAAATAATTATATAAGTAGTGTGATTACTTAAAAAAAAGCTTGTTGTCGTATGTAAGTTTAACAGCAACGAATGTTTCGTAGCTTTGTAAGTCTGTACTGTCGAAAGACAAAACGATGTTGTCAACTGAATAGTCTGTAAGTTAACATTTTTCTATTACAGTTCCACGAACATGCAATCAACCCGCTCGAAACAGTTTGTCTCATAGCTGTCGACGAGCCTCCTCATGGCGTTCTCAGCGCTGGTCGACGTAGGGGGTCGGAGGCGGAAGGCGACGCGATTATAGCTTGACTAGTTCGCAAATATATAAAAAAACATATCCTTTGCTAGGGGGCAAACGAAGCCAAAAAAGAGAAAGAATACGGCCATCATCGTCAAAGCGATTTCAATAAATTATAGATTACATTGCACTTGTATACTGCACGATTAACAACTTCGATGCGATAAAGCTAAATGACAATGATAAATGTCCATATCTGTTCTCCAGATGCTCGTTTCCACAGCTGCCGTTCCCAGTGGGCGAAGTCAAGGCTGGGTTGTTCAACTAGCATTTATGCAGATTCTTCAGTATCGGTTATTTACGTCTGTTAGCACGTTTGGGGGCTACAAAGCTCATTGGCACACTGGCCCCATAGGCTGTACAGATACGGTAGTATAAACCAGTCCTTCCCCTCTGTGAGTAGCCGTGAATAAGTTTGTCTGCGATAGATTAACTCTGTTTTATGAGTGTCCCCATTCACACAACCAGTAACCTTTTCAAAAAGATGCTATACGAGTGCTAAATTGTGCATTATGTGTACATTGAACTTTCCTTTCTTGGTTTCTAAAAGTTGTTGCCCTAGCCGTCAGACGACGATACAAACCATAGTAGCGTTTAATAGCGGGCCTTCTGAACAAACATGAACCAAAAAGAAAGCAACTCGTTATTGTTAGTTGGACCTGAAACGGTTACATTGAAACCAAGTCGCACCTAAAGGAACAAATGAGTTCATCCTGTCAGGTGACGAAAACTATAATTCTTATAACGCTACTACACGTAATACCGACAGATTAGCATGTAACCTTATTTTAACTATAAAAAAAGGAAATTTAACAATAATTTTAATTAAAACTAAAAACAATTAGTAAGCTAAATTTGTTATTTACTACACTTCATAAAAAGCTATTCAGATTTTTATTCTTCTCCAGTATAGTAGCAGCACATAGTAACAGTTAAGGTCACCTAAAAATGCACACTAATTTATCTAGTGCAATAATCACTGGCGCTCTGCAAAACCGAAATACGCTGATCCTCCGTTGCGTATATACAGGGGCATGGAATCCCCTCCCCACAAATATTTTAAATGGCTTGCGCTACCTGTGTCCGCAATTCGCATGGCCAATCCTCGACCTGAAATGCCTAATAGCTTTCAGCTTTGGAATCTTTTTGGACGTTATTTATTTAAAGTGCGTGCAAGGTTGCGTGCTACGAAACCACGCAACCTTGATAATGTACTTTTATACTGGTTACTTGTTTTTTGATATTTTTAAGGGTATAGGGTCTACCTTACTATCCATTTGCTAAGTGCCACTCAACGTTTCCTATTATCATCAGTACTATCATCACATAGTTAACGAGTACACACATATACCTGTATGCCACGTTATTTGCCATATCCTATATGGTGGTACATATTTATGTACATAGACAGGAGACAATGGCACATTTAAAATTACAAAGGTTTTTTTGTTCTCCGCAGTAGCTACCTTCACAGAAGCAAGCTCCTTATAAGACCAAATAACGCTCTAATGAGCCAGACCAAAACCATTAATTACGACAATAAATTAAATCCCAATATCCAACTTATAATGGAGCCTTCATTATTTGTATATATCATATATATATAGAAACAGCCGATTCTTACATCCCTAAAAGCCGCTCCGCACGAATTATATTGTCCTATGTACGTGGTGACACTGGCGACACCACTTTATTAGCCGTATGTATGGTTTCATTACACGCATAACGCATATATATGTATAT